TTCCTCTTCTCATCAAAGTGGATATCTATCCATTTGACTCTTCATTGGTGTTCTCTGTTGGTCACTATGTCAACTATTTACTTGTTTGTGTTAGTTAGGGTCACGCAGGCAAGGACAGCCTAAAAGTCCTAGGCCCGATAAACATTTACTGAATGACTGAGTCCCTGGTATAGTACAGAGAACTTAATACTCTGTTTGCTTATCCAGTTAATTTGTATTCAGAAGTGTTGCTTTATTTTAGATTTCTCTGATTAAAGGAAGTTACATGTGAAAGAATTATTTCTTTACATAAGACTCATTGTCTAGCTCCATAACATGGAACTTTTAGCCACATCAACTACTATTTCCCTACTGTGCCCTACATTCTTCCTTCTCAAGCCTCTTCTCAATGCATACACAATGTGTCTGATTATGAATGAAGTGGTTAATTGTTGTGTAGTCTACTTTTGTAACATGCCAATCAAAACTGTTCTTTATAAGCCAAGACACCGTGTTTATACAGTAATCTTATTTTTAAAATGTCTAATCACAGCCATGTCACTGCTCAAAATCAACCTGGTTAACAGCAAACACAAAACCATACTGCCATATCTCACAAGGCTATCTATTTCTTCACTCACTCTTGGATTCCTTCATTCAGATGTGTGCAGAGAATCTGTACTTATGTTAATCTTTTTTTTTTTTTTTTTTTGAGACAGGGTCTCACTGTGTAGGCCTGACTGTCCTGGAACTCATTCTGTAGATCAGGCTGGCCTCAAACTCACAGACATCAACTTGCCTCTGCCTCTCAAGTGTTGGGATTAAAGACATGTGCCACCAACACCTGTTGTTGTTTTTTTTTTAAGCTTATGTTGATTTTTAAGAACAATTCTTGGTTGAAAATCCTAATGCAATAATAATAGTTGTTTCTGCTTGAAACTCATCTGTAGGAAAATATTAAGTCTAAAAAAATTTACAGAAAATTGTTATAACACAAAGTTTTGCCCTGGTTTGCTACTATTAAGTTTTGAGACATGCCCCCTCTGGGTAGCAGTTTTCCTGTATGCTAAAGCAAGACACTAACAAAGGGCGAAGGAGAAATCGTGGGAGGAAGCAAGGCAAAGAAACGGCTGAATGATCTCTAAGGTCACCATGCACTCCAAATTCTTGACTCAGTTAAATGAAAGTTGATCTTAATACAGAGGTGCAGAGTAGACAGACAATAATTGTCACACTGTGACAGGACCTTCCCACCGCTATACTGCACAAGAGCTCTGCACATGCTAGCTCATTTAACATCTATAAATATTTGATTATTCACTTCCCACTTTACAGTCAAGAAAAAGTGAAGACCAGGAACATAACCATGTAAAGTTACACAATGTTCTTGGCCACCAAAATGACAAATGGCTGAGTAGAAAGTTGGATGATTTCAGAAAGTGCAAATCAAAATGAGACTTAACATGGAATTCTTGGCAAAGCTTACTGTCTTCAGGAGGCCCCTGCTGCATGTCCTGGCCAGCAGCAGAGTAGACTGGTTTGCCCGTCCCTTTCCAAATCAACAGTCCTTATTTCTCATCAGAAGGCAAGATTTCAGGACTCACTATGCACCTACATTCCAAATCTAACACATACCAGACACCTCAAAGAACAAATCAGAGTAACAAAGAATTCAAAACTAACCTTTTGCCAGGCATGGTGGCACACATCTATAAACTCAGCATTTCGAAGCAGTGACAGGATTAGGAGACCAAAGTCAGTTTTGGTGTCTTAGTCATGGTTTCTACTGCAATGAAACACCATGGCCAAAAAGCAAGTTGGAGAGGAAAGGTTTTATTTGGCTTACATTTCCAGATCATAGTCCATCATTGGAGGAGGTCAGAACAGGAAGTCAAGCAGAGCTGGAACCTGGAGGCAGGAGCTGATGCAGAGGCCATGGAGGGGTGCTGCTTACTGGCTCGCTTCCCATGACTTGCTCAGCCTGCTTTCTTGTAGAACCTAGTACTACCAGCTCAGGCATGGCACCACCCACCATGGGCTGGGCCATCCCCCATTGATCAGTAATCGAGAAAATGCCTTACAGCTGGATCCCATGGAGGCCTTTCCTCAACTGAGGCTCCTTCCTCTCTGATAACTCTAGCTTGTGTCAAGTTGACACACAAAACTAGCCAGTACAGTTGACTATCCAGTGAATTCAAGGCCAGCCTGAGCTACATAAGACTCAAAAAGTAATCAACCAATCAAATTGAAACTAACCTTTAAGCAGTCAAAAATTATATTGGAAATGAGATTATTTCCTGCATATTATTATGCATTTAACATTTACACTAGGATTATTAGCTATATTAGGTTTACTAAGGAAACAACACATGCCTTTGTGATGGCTATTTTTGGTTGTCAACTTGATTGTATCCAGAATGAACTACAATCCAGAAATGGAGGGCATAACTGAGATTTTCTGCTTGAAGTGGGTGAATCCACTTCTAGTCTGGACCTTTGAGGTAGGAAGATACACCTTTGATCTGGGCCACACCTTCTGCTGGAATCCTATGTAAGTACATGGAAGAAGGAAGCTTTTGCTCTTTGCCTGCTTGCCCTCCTCTGGCTAGCACATCCATTCCTTCACTGACATTGGAGTCTTCCTCAGAATACAGAAGACCAGCTGAGACACCCAGCCTGTGGGACTGAGCAACTGCTAGATTCTTGGATTTTGCATTCACAGGTAGCCATTGTTGGACATGCTGGACTGCAGCCTGTAAGTCACTGCAATAAATTCCTTCTTTATATATATTCATTCCATAAGTTCTGTGACTGTAGAGAACCCTTAATAACAACATTTTAAAGCAGAACAAAGGGGTAAATGCCATAGTTTCATTATCAGGAAAATTGATGTAAAAGTAGAATGTGTTTTATACCAAGAATTGTACTGTTCATATAATGCCTTACCATATTTTGCCTGGGTCTTTTGATCTTGTCTAGTCTGTTTTCCACATCTCCATTTTTTTTCTTGTGTATGTGTGTAATGCACTCACAAGTGTGTGGGTATGTGGTGCCTTTGCATGTACCTCCTGAGACCAGCAGGATGTTGGGTGTCTTCCTTCATCACTCTCCCTGCTGCCATGAGGCAGCATCTCTGGGCCAGAAGCTTGATGTGTCAGTCAGGCTGGCCAGCCAATGAGCTCCCAGGATCTGCCTTTGCCCCCCAATACAGGGGTAATGGGCAAACACAGCCACACCTCACATTTTACATGGGTGCTAAGGATTCTATTCAGGCCTTCATGCTTGCACAGTAAGTGTTCTTACACACTGAACCATCTCCCCAGTCCCTTCCATCTGTTTGAACCAGTGAAGTACCACTTGACAAAGGTAGTTTCCAGAGCTATGCTTAAATCAACTCATAACACCAATTTCCCTCTATCGTGGATTGAGGCACTGCTGAGCAACTAAAAAAGGAGCAACATTTCAAAGCACATTTACCACAAACAATTATTTCTTAAAGGCGGTTGATATGCTGAATTCAAAGACCAAGTGCTGACCATATAATGCTATAAAGATAACTAAATAACAAAACACCTTTAAATCATTATGCATAATGTTAAACATGCTCAGCCAGGGGAGTCTGCTTCACATTTGTATGTATGTATATATATATATATATATATATCTTGTATATGCAGAAACATACCTGCAACATTTACAATATCCATTGCAGCACCTTAGACAGACAGCCTGGGAAACTAATGTCTGTTTCCTTCCACTCACCTGGGCAGACAGCGAGTCCAAAGCAAATGAGGCTCCTTGAAGGCAGGAGAGAATAATTACTAAAATGGTGGGTTTTTAATAAAATGGCTCTATCACCCCCACAAAGTCCAATATATTTTTAAAAAGCCAAATTACAATGAAGTCTATGATAATTTCACTAATATATGTTAGAATAATTATCATAAATGAAAGATGTCATGGTTGGTTGATAGTGAGAAATCTCTTACTTGTCCTTGTAAGTATGCCCAAACTGAAGTTAAACTCCAAGGAAAATTAGAATTTTCAAGTCAAGAAAAATATTTCCTATCGTAATATAAGATCCTATTTTTTACATGGGAAAGTAAAGAGTAATCC